CTGAAAATTGTTACACTATGTTTAATTTCATATTTTAAAATTAGATTATTCACTCTTTTACTACAAAAATGACTCGCCAATCACTAATGTTAGCTATTGGTGCTCCAAAATCTTGAAAAGATATGTTTCTTTATAAATATACTTACTACCTGAGCATCAATTTTTTGTGTTGCCACTCCCTCAGTCCACTTGATATTTATTCAATTGCTATCAAGATATATTGAAACATAAGAGATTAAATAAAATGATCCATACAGTCAAGTCCCCAAACATTTAAGATCTCAAGTTCTAGCATATAATAAGCATGAAACATTAAAGATCTCAACATTTAATAATTCATGCAACTCAAATCTAATCTTAAGTAAACATTCTTTTTAACATATCTTAAGCTTGGAGATATGATTTAGCCAAATGTGGAAATAAACTAAAGAAAACACCATTCATTTAAAATAAATAAGATAGAAGAGATAAATCAAGGAAATATAGTACCCAAAAGTTCTTCAGAAAATGTTTACAGACTCTCCTTCCCCTGGAATTGACTTCCAAGGCTTACTCTCCCTCTATCTCCCTTACTAGACTATTGACAACAATCCACTACCGCCCATGGGTGGCATAGTGGTTCTATTAGATCAACATGTCAAATCATCAGTTATCACAACATTTGTCATTTCAACTATTAGAAACTATCCCAATCCTGGTGCTATGGCAATCTGGCACTGCAGTACTTCTTCCTTAGTGCCTTGACGCCTAGTTCTCGGACTATTACTGCTATAACATTACCTTTTAGCGCTTCGGCATTAAGGATGATTATAACATTGTGATGCTCTATCTGTGGTGCCATGACATTCCTTGAATTATGGATATTTTGCTTTTTTCCAACATAAAAACCTAAATTTAAATAACATTTTTATAAAAGCAAGTATAATTTGGATGAAATATTTTTTTCCTTATCATAGGGGTGATCATTGGTCCTCAGGGTGACTTCGATCTCTATCTCCTATACTCTTTTCTCTATGGTGAATTTAGTCCCTTTTACATCCTTTTAGCTATTCTCTTACAGTTGAAAGTTCATGATTAGCTATCTATTATACTCTTCAACATTCACGGGATTGTTGGCCAGCTCCAAAAGTTGGTAAGCATCCTAAGATATTATAAGCTAAGTGCATATCTATAAAGACCGTCCATTAATCCTTGTGTCAACTTAGCCTGAGAAACTATAAGCTTGAGATCCTTTACATCCAACATCTCTCTTTAAAACATTATGATGAAATTCCTAAGTGCTCCTCAGGCTCTTGCCTCATCTTTAATTAAACTTTTGAAGTCTTCTACATCCTCTAGGCACTAGCAAACTAGGTTATTAACATTCTCTTGAGTTAAGAGAATGAGGTGATCACTCCCATTAGCAGGTAATTTAATCACCTAAGTGTAAATTCCTTGAGAGTCATAAAGCGTAAGAGGCACTTGAAGGCACCATTGAGGTTAAGGAGGAGGTCATCGTCAAAGGTTGCCACATGGTCAATAAAGGCAGTCTTATGCAATGGCACTTTGAACTTTGGGAGGCAGTCTAGAGAAGGCTTTGGTGAGTTTTTGCTTAATTATTCTTATTCACCATTCAGGTGGATTATAATCATCATCATTTACCACTGTGCAAGAAGGATCAAGGATGGGCATCAAGGTTATTGCTAGATTATCTGATTTTTTGTCTGCAGAAGCACCCTTGAAGTCCACCCAAGGCATCTTTGATCATCTTTATGATTTGCTCATCCATCTTGGCGAGGTGTTGGTGAGCTATCTGGTTTTATTGATTGACTAGAGCCTAATTTTTTATCAATGGAATCAATCCATTCTCATTGCACCAAATATGATGTTGAATCCAAACTTATCTATGGATGACATCGAAGCTTAATGGACCGCCTAATTGAGTTAGCAAGTGAGTAGGAATTGTGGTGATAATGGAGAGTAGAGAAGGGAATTAGAGAGTGGAAGAGATTCTCAAAGATGCTCAGAGGATTAAAGCTTTAACTGATAAGGCATCCACTATCACAAGAAGGAGAAAAGGTCCCCATACATTATTCTTCATGGCCCCTTATTTATAAGACTATGGGGCCTAAGGGGAAGGCCGTATAAAAAGAAAACATAAAATTCTACAATGTTACATAGTTGTTGACCCTCATGTTATAACCAAAAGAAACAAAGGGAGATGAAAGCAAAGAAAAAATCATGCATACAAACCTCTTACCCGACGGATCCACGAAATCTGCCGAAGCTCTCCACAAATCCTGGCGAAGTCCCGCTCGATTCTCTGCAAAACGGCGCCGAAAGCGATCTCTCCCGCGATCCATGCAGAAATCCCGCCGAATCG